TTTTTTTTTTTTGTCGGTCATGTGGCTTGAACTCTGGGCCTGGGCGCTGTCCCTGCGCTCTTCAGCTCAAGGTGAGTGCTCTACCACTTGAGCCACAGCACCACTTCTGGTTTTCTAGTGGTTTGTTGGAGATAAGAGTCTCACGGATGTTCCTGCCCAGGCTGGCTTTGAACCACGATCCTCAGATCTCAGCCTCCTGAGTAGCTAGGATTACAGGCATGAGCCACTGGCACCCGGCTCCATGAGACTTTTATCCAATAAACCACCAGAAAACCAGAAGTGGTGCTGTGGCTCAAGTGGTACAGCACTTGCCTTTAGCTGAAGAGCTTAGGGACAGAGCCCAGGATCAGAGTTCAAGCTATGATTGACAAAAACAGAAAAGAAAAGCTTTTGCTGGGCACCGGTGGCTCATGCCTGTAATCCTCACTACTCGGGAGGCTGAGATCTGAGGATCAAGGTTCAAAGCCAGTCCGGGCAGGGAAGTCCATGATACTCTTACCTCCAATAAACCACTCGAAAACTGGAATTGGTGCTGTGGCTGAAGTGGTAGAGCGCTTGCCTTGAGTTGAAGAGCTGAGGGACAGCACCGAAGCCCAGTTCAAGCCCCACGACTGACCAAAAAAAAAAATGCTTTTGTGACAGCATGCTGTGTCTAAAACACCCATAACTGTGCCTGTCTGGAAATATGTGGGGAGGTAAGATGGACCCATAGTGTTGCCATAGGCTTTTTTATTTCTTACTTTAGTTTTTGCTAGTCTTGGGGGCTTGAAATTTGGGCCTGGGTGCTTTCATTGAATTTCTTTTCTGCTCACGGCTAGCACTCTACCACTTGTGCCACATCTCTACTTCTGGCTTTTGGGTAGTTAATTGGAAATATGAGTCTGATGGACTTTCCTGCCTGGGCTGGCTTTGAACCACAATACTTATATCTTAGCTTCCTGAGTAGCATTTTTTTTTTTTTTTTGCTAGTCCTGGGGCTTGAACTCAGGGCCTGGGCATTGGGAACTCTCTCTGAGCTTCTTTTGCTCAAGGCTAACACTCTACCACTTAAGCCACAGCACCACTTCCAGCTTTTTCTGTTCATGTGGTACTGAAGACAAACCCAGGGTTTCATGCATGCTAGGCAAGCCCTCTCTCACGTTCCCAGCCCCACACGACCTTTTTATTGATGCTTCTTGATTACTAGAGGAGCTAGGAAATTGAATAGTGGACTTCATTGAAAATGTTTGATGTGATCTTGAGATATCTTGAACTAATTCCAGCTCAGGAATTTGAGACCAGTTCACAGAAGAAAGTTCAGCATGCCCCAAAGTGATTCTTCTCTTTTTTTTGGAGTTGGTCTTAGGACTTATATTCACGGACTGGGCACCATCCTGAGCTTTTTTTGCTCCAGGCTAATATTCTACCACTTGAGTCACAGCGCCATGTCTAGCTTTTTGGTAGTTAATTGCAGATAAGATCTCATGGACTTTCCAGCCCAGGCTGGCTTTGAACCTCAGTCCTGAAATCTAAGCAAAAGTTGTTTTTATATCTGAGACTAGCCTGCATTTTGTGGTCCAGATTTTAAGTAGAATCAGATTGTTGCTGCCACAATCTGCCTTCTGCAAGACATACCCCATGACAGTGAAAAGTCAGAAAGAGTCACTTCGGTGTGGGGCTCAACCTGGAAACCTTAGCAACTTGGGACATGGAGGTTGGGGATCATGGTTTGAGGCCAGGGAAAATTACTTTCAAAGTATCTCAAACCAGTGCCTGGGCATGTTGACACTGCATGTTTCCTCAACCTTTGACAAAGCACAGTGGCTGGACACAATAGTGTATGCTTGTTGTCTCCGGTGATTTGGGGAAGCATAAGCAGGAAGATGCAACCCATGTCAACCTGGGCATAAAGTGAGCCACTGCCTTAATAGCTTTTTTTTTTTTGTTTTTGGTTGGTCGTGGGGCTTGAACTCTGGGCCTGAGTGCTGTCCCTCAGCTCTTCAGCTCAAGGCAAGCGCTCTACCACTTGAGCCACAGTGCCACTTCCGGTTTTCTGGTGGTTTATTGAAGATAGGAGTCTCACAGTCTTTCCTGCCCGGGCTGGCTTTGAACCGAGATCCTCAGATCTCAGCCTCCTGAGTAGCTAGGATTACAGGCGTGAGCCACCAGCGCCCGGCTTGAGCCACTGCCTTAATAACCAGTGCCAAAGGAGGCTGGAGAGATGACTCACTCAAGTGAGCACCTGCCTGTCAAGCTCAAGGTCCTGAGTTTAGTTTCCTTTACCGCCATATCACCAAAGCAAAACAACCAGACTTAACATGATTAAACATCTTTTATTTATTTATTTATTTTTGGTCACAGTGCTTGATCTCTGGGCCTGTGCGCTGGCCCTCAGCTCTTCAGCTCAAGGCTAGTGTTCTACCACTTGAGCCACAACACTTCCAGTATTCTGGTGGTTAATTGGAGTTAAGAGTCTCACGGATTTTCCTGCCCAGGCTGGCTTTGAACTGCAGTCCTCAGATCTCAGCCTGCTGAATAGCTAGGATTACAGGCATGAGCCAGTTTGATTAAGCATCTTGAAGAAGAACTACTCCTTAAGACTGTTGGCAAACAGATGGTGCCTTTTCCCTGTATTCACTGTGGTGTCTTTTGCTTTTCCATGCTGAAGCATATTCAGACGATCTTACTACATATCTCACTTCCTCCCTACCCTGCTCACACCACGAGTGGTAAGTGGTTTGAAATCTACTACCTATACTCAGTGGGAACCAGGGACAATCCTTTTTCCTTATCTGCTGCTCACTCAGCTGTTTTCTTTGTAGCTTCCATTGGTCCCTGACTCCCGAGAAGGTTTTATAGAGTCTCTGAAGAGGTAAGGAGCTTCAGTAGTCGCATTTCTGTGTCCAAAGGGTTTTGATAATGCAGAGTTCTTTTGTAGAAGATCTGTTTATCATGCATGTTTTGTTTATAAAATATTGGCTTCAAACTTGGTTCTAAGGTAGAAAATCAACTTGTCATTGTTTTTGTCACTAACAAAGACAAACATGGGCTTCGAATGAAAGCAGGCAGGAATGACCATAGTGATATATAGTAATAGAGAATTCAAATTAAAATCAGTCAGAAGGGACAAGGATAGTTGCTTCATATTAATGCAGGGAATGATCCATGAAGAGGAAATTGCCGTTGTTAATATATACGCACCAAAAACTGGTGGACCCAGGTCATCAAGAAAACACTTCCAGACTTACATGTCCTGATAAACCCAGCACAACAGCAATGTCCCTATTCATGACAGTCTTCTTTTTTTTGGGTCCGGTCGTGGGGCCTGAACTCTGGGCCTGGGCGCTGTCTTCAGCTCTTCAGCTCAAAGCTAGTGCCACAGCGCCACTTCCGGCTTTTTTCTTTTTGCTTATGTGGTGCTGAGGAATCGAACCCAGGGCCTCTGGCATGCAAGGCAAGCGCTCTACCACTGAGCCACCTTCCCAGCCCCCCACGACAGTCTTCTAAATCTAACACCAACAGAAAAACCTTAGAATTAAATGATACCACAGACCAAGCAGTCTTAATATTTTACTTAGTAGAGGTACAATATATGTTTTTATTTTTTTTTATTTTTTATTATTTTTATTTTTATTTTTTTTGGTCGGCCGTGGGGCTTGAACTCTGGGCCTGGGCACTGTCCCTCAGCTCTTCAGCTCAAGGCGAGCACTCTACCACTTGAGCTACAGCGCCACTTCCGGTTTTCTGGTGGTTTTATTGGAGATAGGAGTCTCACGGTCTCTCCTGCCCGGGCTGGCTTTGAACCGAGATCCTCAGATCTCAGCCTCCTGAGTAGCTAGGATTACAGGCGTGAGCCACCAGCGCCCGGCACAATATATGTTTTTAGTGTTCCCAGAGCTTTCTCCAGAATGTGTCATATCCTAGAACATACAGCTCTAAGCAAATGCTGGGAGTAGAGACATGGCCACTATATCCAACTTGAATTGCTGAATATGATCTAGTGATGTTTCAAGTGGCTTTGTACCTATGTCTGTAATTCTACATCTTGGGTACTTTAGCATGGAAGTTTCATAATAATATTAAGTAAATCAGAGCCAGGTGCCAATGGCTTAAGCCTGAAATACTAGCTAGTCAGGAGGCCGAGATCTGAGAATTGTGATTTGAAGCTAGCCTGAACAGAAAAGTCTAGATTTTTTTTTTGTTTTCTTTTTTTGGTTGTAGGGCTTGAACTCAGGACCTGAGTGCTGTCCCTGAGCTTTTTTGCTCAAGGCTAGTGCTCAACCACTCTGAGCCACAGCACCAATTCCAGGGGTTAATTGGAGATAAGAGTTTCATGGACTTTTTTGCTGGGCTGGCTTCAAATTGCGATCCTTAATGCAATCTCATTCTCCTGAGTTGCTAGAATTACTGGCATGAGCCACTGGCACCCAGTCGGAGAGACTCAAATCTCCAATTGATTACACAAAAGCTGGAAATGGAAATAGGGCTTAATTGGCAAAGCGCTAGTCTTGAGGGAGAAATAAATCCAAATGAGAGTGTGTGCCTCTGAACCCTAGAACTGGTACAGACATATAAAATAGAGTAAATCAAGACACAGTCTCCTATTCTCTGGCATCTTGTCTGATACAGGGACTCTGCATGTAAAGGTTTGGCAGAGTGTTATGGTTGTCAAACCATGTAACTTGGTGACTTGGGTCCTCTTGACTTAGTTCGTGAATGTTATTAGTAGAGTTAGCTTTTCTATTCCTTTTTTAATTGAGTAGGGAGTTCTGAGAAATCTTTACAGCCATCTAAGATCCCCTCTTCCTCTACCTCACAGTGCTGAAAATGAAACTGTGGCCTGTGTGCACTAAGCGAGCAGTCTACCACTTATTCCCAGCCCCCATCTCAGGTTTTTGTCATCGATACTGTATTGTTCAGTCCTTGCTGAAGGGGCACTGACAAGACCTGATGCTGCCTGTGTGTTGCTACATCACTGGTAATAGCCTGAAGTCACAGGCGATTACAGCTTCCACACAGGGGATAGGGACTGTCTTCTCTGTAGTCCACTGGCATAGACAGAACCATTGCACCTGCCCAGACGTAATGGTCTGCAATGTTACAACACTAAGAATGGCCCTGAAAACATACAGAAGGCCTATGTGAAATTTTACCAGAAAACATCCTGACAAGTTAGTGATGTGAGGTTTCTCTAGGTACCCTCTAAGCTGAGATGGACAAGGTCTAGACAGGTGAATGAGGACACCGTGCTTCAGAGATGAACCATCACAACACAATTTCAGCAGTAGACTCACTCTGGAAATAGAGATCAAATGGACCATCATGCATATTGTGACAACATTCATTTTATGTGTGATAGGCATATTTGTAATGATATGAATTGAATATTTTTTTACTCATTAATATTATATGACATGAAATAGTACCAATTAAATGCATGTTTTTGTAAACATGCATGAATTATCTTCTAAAACCAGGACAGTACTATACACTGTGTACACTGTTGTATGATTTATTGAAATATCTAATTCTGGTTTATGATTTAGTTTTATACCTACAAAGCTGAGAATCAGATCCTCATATTTGATTTATATATTGTTTTCTGATACAGAGCAGATAAAATCCCTCCATCTCAGTATGCTGCTTATCGCCAAGCCTGCACTACTGCCAAGGAGCAGCAACTGGAGAGTGAGCTACTTTCTGTGTCTGTGCCTTCTGTTTCCTTGATGTGTGTGTTTCCCTGTGCTGCTGGGGATGACAAGTTTGTGCTATAGCATTCAGCCCTTGATAGAGATAGAGTCTCATGACTTGGTGCCCCGACTGATTTTAAACCATGGTTCCCTGATCTCTACAGCTCGTATGTGAGACTACAGGCATGAGCATGGAGCCTGGCTCCACTATTTTATTATTATTTGTTTGTGTGCGCGCATGTGTGTGTGTGTGTGAGCGTGTGCGTGTGTGCACATGCACACATGGTACTGTTCTAAGCTTGAACCTGGAGACTGGGCACTATCTTTTTGTGCTCAAGGCCAGCATTCTTACTAGTGGAGCCACAATCTTTTTGGTGGTGAATTATCTTATCTCCAATCCATAAGAGCATGCTCCTTATCCATAAGAGCATGGACTTTTCTGCCAAGGTGGTTTTTGAGCCACAGTCCTCAAATTTCAGCCTCCTGAATAGTTAGGCCACTGTTTTAATTTTTAGTAACATATGCAGCATCCATCATCACAGAGAGACCTTATTTGACTCTGTGAACTGTGTCTGGTATCTACTCACAGCCATTTGTGTGTGTGCGCGCATGCGCGCGTGTGTGTGCATGTGTGCGCGTGCACGCGTGTGCTGGTCCTGTGGTTTGAACTCTGGGCCTGATCGCTGTCCCTGAGCTCCTTTTTTCTCAAGGCTAGAGCTCCACCACTTGAGCCACAGCACCACTTCCATTTTTTTCTGTGATTTGATTGGAGGTAATAAGTCTAACAGACTTTCCTGCTCCAGCTGGCTTTGAACTGCGATCCTCAGATCTCAGCCTCCTGAGTAGCTAGGATTATAACAGATGTGAGCCGCTAGCACCTGGCTTTTTTTTTTCTTGTCTTTTGTTTCATAACCATTCTTTGCTTAACTGTGTCCATGTTTCTGTTTGCAACAGAGAATCCCACTGAGTTTGTTTCCCAGTTGGCCTAATAGTCAAAATTGTCCATCCTTCACTCAGGTGCAGTTCCAGAAACAAGGGCAGAGCCTAGTTGTGCTCGAGACCCCCTGGGACCACTCAGGGCTGCACTGGAAGAGCTCAGAGCCTCAGTGACAGACCCCACCCAGTTTGATGGTAAGGATGAGTATATTTGGTTGTTGGTTAATTAGAGATTGAGTCATGTGGACTTTTTTGCCCAGGCTGTCTTTGAACTTCTGTCCTCCAGGTCTTGGCCTCCTAAATGGCTAGGATTACAGGCATGAGTCACTGGTGCTCATCTAGCTTACAGTTTTTTTTCCTTTTTTTTTTTTTTGGGTCCGGTCATGGGGTCTGAACTCTGGACCTCAGCTCTTCAGCTCAAGGCTAGCACTCTACTATTTGAGCCACAGCGCCACTTCTGTTTTTTTTTT